TGTATAACCAATAACAATAAAGAGATGAACTACCTGCTAATGGTATAATAGTACATGATGCTAAAAGACCAATACTCGAAATAAACATTATAAATATATTAGGTGGAGTACGAAGAAATTTATATCGAATAAAACTATAAGAAAGTGCACCATTTAAAATAATACCAATAAATCCAGCAAGACATAAAAATATTCCAATTATTCGTACTGTATTACAATTAATAGGTGTTGGACGACTCCAAAATAATGGATTATCTGGAGATAAATTTTCATCAACTACTAATGAATTATTATAAAACATCTTATATGATACTGCTTCACAAACTAAAAACAAATGAAAAATAACATTGAGAAATTCTTCTGTTTTTTATTTTCTTTGCGTGAATAACAACGATAAAATATTCTCTATCAATCATTGATAAAAGACAGTTATTCTACTTTAATGACTTCTATCTTCTATACACAATATATTTAATCTAACTAATATCAATAAAGATGATCAATGGATTTTACTCATGAGACGTTAAATAATTACCACAATCATAAGGTAAAGAAGAAATGACCCATTGTGGCTCTTTGTATGATATTTACCTTTCATCTCGCATGATACTTTGAAATAGAGGTGAAATTCTCTTGAGAATATACTATACCTAAATTTTATACGCATCAATACTACAATATCGAATTTAAAAAAATGAATACTGAACAAGTTTCTTATTTCAAGATGACTACGATTATAGAAATATAATGTTGATTTAACTTAAAGATCATGATATGTCCTATAGATGAAATCTAAAGTCTGCTTTCATACACTGGCAAATAAACAAACAGGACAAATCGTGTTGAAACACCATGAAGCTGACTGTTAAAACAATTGAGTATGTCTCCAAAAACCTATTTTCTTATACTTAAAGATGGTTAACTATTTGAAACATTTTCACCGGTTAAACAGGTGAAATTTTGACGTCAATTATCGCTTGAATGAGCGTTTGTTTCACATACAAGCAGTTTTAACAGTTTGAATGTTTTCAATATTAAGGGTGTTCTTCAAAAAAGTTTTTTTTTCGACCATCTAATCTTGATGAAATCTTCCGAGAAGGTGTATTTCGAGTTAGGCACTTTACAGTAAAAGTTTTCGCTGGATACATTGAGTTTATAAAGAGTTAGCCTAAGGTTATAGGTCACCATATTGGTATACAGGCGTCCCAAAATTCTCTGCCATTCCAAATACTAGAAAGTTTGGACTAGTTGTAAAATGCAGCGAAGACGTAGTGTTGCAACTTACGAAGATCCGATTTTTCCATTTTTTTTTCTACATTATTGTTCTTGAAAGATCCTCTAATAAAATACACAAAAATCAAGTGATGTGGGTCAAGAAAGGTTAGTTTTTAGTAAACATTGAAGGATGTGAATGGGGATATGAGTCTTCAATTCTTTCACACTCACACCCAAGAAGTATCTCGCCCAATTGCAGGAAAATGGGGACAATTTGAATATACTAATCCTATAATTTTTTATGGGCTACCTGTTGGCTCTCAAAGGTGAACACAAGTTACAAAGAGAAAACCTAATCATTTTTTTTCTCTCAATTTCTTTATTCTATGGCTTCAGTTAAGTTTTTTCAGTGAGAAAAAATTTTCTGAATAGTAAAGATTCTCATTACATATGCCACAGTCTTACATATCTCATTATTGTATATTTCTCGTGAGCGATTCTTGCTTCCTTCATGGCATCTGTATTAATAAGAACTAAATAATTTACTTATATTTATTTTCTAAAGTAACACGAGAAGCTTACACCTAGTCACAGATAATACACGAATGTATGTACTCAAAATAAACGAATAATCATCAATCCTTAATTGATAAGATGTCAACTCGCAGAAACATATACATAATCATACTGATAGTGAACGTGTATATATGGGGTCTTTTCTTCAAGTTGCCGTATGTATTGAGTAGGATTAGGAAAAGAATGAGTATATTATTGGTACCATCTCTAAAACTATTGAATAAATTAGAGATACTGTAACATATATTACCTCTAACAGAAAATTCCATCTAACGATTCAGTCCGAATAGAGAACGTCCTCATTATGTGATTAGTGAATCCAAACTTTACCTTGACGATGTCCTCTTTTTTCTATCTTTTTCTTTTATTTAATTGTTATTCTTGTCATAAATTGTATTGGTATATTGCTTGGCACTATTTCGAATTTCTGCGTGGTTTCAATTTAACTTATTCGAAGCATATGCAAAAATAGGAAGAGAAAAAACAATCGCAAACTAATATGATCAAAGTAGGGCTTTCTTGCAGATGATCATCTTGTGCTCCACGGGTATTTTGAATCGAAAGTAGATTTATATTTGTATATCTAATCCTATAACTCTCTGAGTTTATTGTTGATAGAACCTTTCAGATATAATTTCTTTATGATGTTGCTTTTAAAAAGCATAATGAATTCGCAAGTGAGTACAGTTACGCTGCAGCGTCAGTTGTTATTATTCTTTTTACATGAAACAACTGACTAGCTCGAAAACAACTGTTTTGCATGTACTACTACAACATTGATAATAGCAATTTTTGATCCATTAGCAAGAAAAAAAATATTTCTAACATGTTCTTTCTTTTCAATCCGAAAACCTATCTTTATCTTATCTTTTTTGCTTCGAACCAAAATGTGAACAACATTGTTCGCCTTGCTCCTCCTCTACCACTAATCGTTTCATTTCTTCTTTATTTGCAACAATAATAACAACAAATACAACAGCTGCAACAACAAAGTGAGCTTCAATGTTTATGATTACTTTTCTGAAGGGGAGTCTATTTTAATGTACATCTTTTTTCTATTTTAGATAATAATCGTTGGAATGACATTGATTGTGGTCAAATCGATCGTGTAGCTAATGATCGTTCCGGTCGTAGTAATGTTCGGGTGATTGAGTGCAAAGATAAACAACACTAATGATACGGTGTGGATATGGATTACGGGCAGAGCAACACTCACACCTATAGTTTGAAGTCAAACTTACTGGCAATAACGATTTATTTCCATCGTTTTTTTTTTTATTTAGTAAATATTTTATGATATAAATAAAACCATCGAATGTTATCCTCCTGTCACCTAAAGTATTTTCATTTATATATGCGCTAAAGACAATATCGATTAACACTTACAATCTTTGTCAGCATCATAGAGCGACTGATTTATTTCCTTTTCTGATAACTATATACAACAAATTTATTTTACTGTTGTTTTCAAAATAAAGAAAGACTTTAAGATTAATTAAACTCTATGATATTCTGCACACACTACTTTGTTTCCATGTAATTGGTTGATAGATATTGCCAGAGATTTTCAGATCTTCTCTTTGAGTCAGAACCAGATTTTGCGAGTTAGTTGAAAAATCAGGCATGTGTAAATGAAGAAAGTTATAAAATTACATCTGTATCAGAATTTTTCATGATTAGTAAAAGAAGAAATTTTGTAATTATTTAGTCTCGACTATAAGGAAAGTCGATTGTTTTGGGAATCGGAATACGTAAGTAAAGTTAGCATCATATTCGAGGGTATGAGTGTGTAGGTCGGTTCTCTCTCCATTTACATCCTCCTTCTTCACTCATTTTGACCGAATTTCAATGAAAAATATTAAAAAGATTATTCAACTGAGATATTTTCATGTTCACACATTTACTACTTTTGTTTAACATGTGTTTCTTTTCTTACTCTTCCATACGTAATTACATTAATATTGGAAATTTAGACGAATTAATACGAATACTGTTGATATATCTTGGAATATATTCTACATTACTTCAGTTGAAATGGCCATTTTTATCATTAAATTTTAGAAAAGAATTCTTTTTCGTTTTTATATTTGTTCTTTCTAATGTATTGATGCTACTTTTTTTTATTTACAAATTTCGTTAATCGACTTCTGGTTTCGAATATAGCGAAATAATCATACTTGAACCATTGATGCCAGACAACGATTTGAGAGTTCTTATTTACTTCTACATACTATCAGAATGAACTGAAAGGTTTAATTTATTTAAATAACAGTTTTAATTCAAAAAATCATCCAAATAAAAGCACTTGCTACAATAATTAGATGTCATCGCTTCAAGATATGGCTGCATTGAACATCATACCCTTACATAGTCTCTCCTAAGCAAAGAATGTCAGTTAAATCTATAATGAAAATATAGTACAATGTATTCCAAAAGCTTCTGAGTATATCTTTACTATCCAATTCAATTTTACGAATTAAGCTTCGCTTTAGATAATAGGTCCATATACCGAGTGTTTATTTATAAGAACAAATTTCAAAAGCATCCTTCAAAGCTATCATCTCTAACTGAAATATAAAAATTTAACCGTTTTTCTATATGTAGAAAAATTGTTATACAACGATTCATTTTCAATTACTCTGATTTTTTGAATCATTCTGGTCTCTAAATTGTTATAGGTATTTAATAGTCGTCTTATAAGCATTTTTTTTAAATATAGCCATAAAAAGAAATGCAATTATATTAAGTCTAGTGACGACGAAACTTATCAGATAGGTTCATCTCTTCTAAGTCAGTGATCATCAAACTTATCAATCAGTCAGAAGTAAACTGTCTTTGAGTAATGTGTTGATGCCCTATGTTGCTAGAAAATCACTTCTTTGTAGTAGTTCTTTCTTTTCGATAAAACCAGATAAAAAAAGCTTTGGAGCATATCAAGATTATTTTGTTGATCGATTGTTGCATCGTGGTGGTCAATCATTCGATCATCAAAAACAAATGACCCAACAATTAGTTTGCTTGACAGGAAACACTACGCAGTAAGTTTTGGTGAGTGTATTGTAACTTCGAAGCGGCATACGGATCATTTTGAGTCCAAGTACAGCAGCTATGTTTATTAACTGATGCAGAAAGTGATTGTGTGAACAACGTCCAAGAAAATAAAGCAATTTAAGAATAATTGTCTCATAATGTCTTTCTGCATATAGAAAAAGTGTTAGATGTTTATATTTCAGTTAGTGGTAATAGCTTTGAAAGATGCTTTGGAAGTTTGCTCGTATAAATAAAAACTCGATGCACAGGCCTACCAGTTGAAAAAATTCTAGTTGATAAAGTTAAATCTAATAGTAAATATATACGAAAAAACTTTTGGCACACGGCGTATCTATCGGGCTATATATGAATTAAGCACCTGTAGCATTGTTATCGGATCGAAGACTCGAGTCAGAATCTTTTTTTTGTATTATGATATAGAGAATAAGTTTTGTAGCAACAAAAGAATATTTATTGAAATTTGATTACTATATCTTGAAAATGTACAAAAATATAAATCAATCAACCAAATAATGCGGGAATGATGGTTTAGCTTTTGATAATTAATGGAATAAAAACGGTTTGACAAAAATTTCAAAAAAATCTTAGGTCTATATAAACCACATATCATTGGCGATTTTTTCATCCAGTACCATTACTTTTGTCTTAATATCATCAAGTGAGTAACTTTCAGGTTCTTCATTATTTTCATCAAGACTAAAAATATAAATGAAAATATTATTCACGATCACAAGTATTTGTGATTTAATACCTTTCTGTATCATGATCTTCGCCAGATTTGATTGCTCGTGATGCATACGCTGCTAAATGAGCATAATGAACAGGAGCTGGTATTGAGACTGATTTAGTACAACGCATATCAGTATGACAAAGCTAAAACAAATCTTATCCTTATCCTTAAAATTTTTTCAAACAATATAAACTTGCCCAATAGGTAAGTTGTTGAATATCATCACTACTAAATCCAATTTCATCATAAAGAACATGATACAAAGCTGGTCGCGATGTACCCATTCTATAATAATCAATAATCAAGACTGTTTATAACAAACTAAACTTAAAAATACTTACATTGCCGCCTGTGAGCATAAGTAGAAATCAAATTGAGTTGGATGAATTATATTCTGATCGATAACAGTACCTGCTTGGACATTCATTGTTTGATTATTATCATATAGAAAGAAACGTGTGTTATGACGTTTTTTCACAACAATAAATGCTAATTTTGGTAAAGGTTTGTCACGATAAACGACTAATATAAAGAAAAATAAATTATTTTTATTATTATGTTTGAATACTTACTACAACATGCATGTTTAATTTTTATAACTTCATTATCGAGTACTTTCTGGTACTGTCCTTCATCAACACCATCTCGATAGAAAACAATTTTATTTGGAAGACGATCGCCACATGAGTCTGCAAATACTTGAAGCAAATCAATTACCATTTTGTCTAACTCTTTTATAATTTCCAATGAACAACGACCCTTTTTTGGATATTCTACAATGAAGAATGAATCATGATGAAAATAAAATAATAAACAACATACGTTCACAAAGTCGAGCAGCATATAGACTGTTTGTCAAATCTCGCGAACCAACAACAGCTGCTATTGATGGACGATCACTTGAACAAGTTGAGTGAGTTACCTAAATGAAAAAGATTAAAAATTCATTGATTAGCTGCAATTTCTTTTTTTCTTGTCTATAACTTACATCAGCTCCAAAGAACATAAAAAGATCTTCTCTTGAAGAATGACTAAGAGCTGATTTAATATTGACGACACCATTGATACCACCTAATTTTCCATTAATTTTTTGACTTAAATTTTCAACATCTAAAAATATTTAATATTCCTTTTCTTAAATACTTGAGAGAACATGCATAACGATTCTTTCACTATGAAACTCAAATCTAGCCCTTTTTTAAAATCTGCTACTACTGGCAAATATCAATGTTTTTATGTGTGCACTTACACATTTCAAGTTTATTCATGTTTCGTTCCAAAGCTTGAAAATTAACACATTGAGTCATCAAACCAATCCTTGTATTAGCATACTTTTTAACACAATTATAGACATTATCTGAATTACGACTGTTAATAATAACAATAGCCAATTGCCAACGTTGTCTGCTAGCATCGAGTAACGTATTGTTAATTTCATTTTCAAATGAATTTTTTATTGTCAATGATGGTTCGATATTAATTACGAAACCATTGCGTCTAAGTAGCTAGAAGAAAAGAATTCAAATTAATAGTAAAAAATAAGTTAGACAAAAATTTTACATCTGGTAGTTGATTTTGGAATTCATAAAGCATATTCTCAATAGATCTATTAGATTTATCACCAAAATAAATCATTCCCCACGAATTGATTTCGGATGTTGTATAAAACCAATTTCGAATTCGCCATTTGCCACAATTAACAGATTCAATGACTTCACCTCGACCACGACGACGATATATGATTGCTGGAGGTGAGAGTACACGTGCTAAATATAAACCGATAAAATTGTAGAAAACTGAAACAAAGAAGGATAAATTACCTTTAATTTCAAGCATTTCTTTGTCTTCAACACGAATATTAAGTTCTTTGAGATAAGGATCTCTATCGAATTGATTGTTACGTACAATTTTCATAATTTCATCGTAACGTTGTCCTGGTTTGATGATCGTATTTCTAGAAACAAGACCTCGCTGTTGTTTATCCAATGGTTTTAACGAACGTTGCCATTCGACTATCTGAAATACAATGAAAATCACGTAATCATTATTGATTTAATGTCATCAACTTACATTGACAACTTCCATAGGTAACCAATTTGGTTTATTTTGAGCTCCTTTCATCGCATTAATACACGGTAAGTGTGGATACATAAGTTTTCTGTATTTTTCAGCAAAATAATTTGCAACACTGATCTCTTTGACGTTAGCAGTACTTGCTGCTTGTTCATTATCTTCACCGCGAGGAAACATAAGTTGATTAGCAGGACGACCAAAACCATGGAATCGATAGAAAATTCTCCGACCGGTATGCATTGTTTCAACTAATTAGTAAAAATAAAATTCTTGAAGAAACAAGTTTAAATCAACTTACTGGATAAATTGCGAATAATTTTTTCAAAGGGTTTTAAATCTTCTTCACGCAAATCAGACGTGATATCTTTTCGTAAATATTTGCAAGCAAATTCAACAAAACGCAACGGCATATAAAAGCATGTAAATGTCAAATTGACATTGATTGTTGGTCCACCTTGTGTGAGAAATAAAGCTTGATAAAAACCTTTTGCCATACCACGACCATCGCCTATAAAAATTCAATGAACATGAAGAAGAATGATTGCAAGAAACAAAACTAACCAAGATCATCAAGTTGTCGACGTCGGTCATAGTACTGATTTCGAATAGCGATTAAATCATTTCGAGCACGTTGTGTGAAAAGTGTTTCAATAATTCGGACTGTTTCACGTGGTCGATTATTTATTTTCTTTTCAATAAAATCATAAATATTTCGAATTCTATCTTGTCGAACAAGAACTAATTTTTTCAATTGAAAAATTTTTTTTTCGCCATCTTTTTCTAATTCAATCTGAATAGGCAATGCTAAATCAGGCAATATTTCTCGAGTATATAGTGTTTTCCCTTCGTCATACCTAAAAAACGAACAGTATTAAAGAGTCCAAATTTTTTTCAAATGATAAATAAGTTTACCAAATTGTAGGAAAATTGTTTCTTCGTCTAAAAAAAGACTGTACTGCTTCCCAACGATCATCTTTCCGTGGCAGACGCGCTTTACCATCGCGACCAACCGTAACAATGTCGATATCGTATTGATAAATGACAGCATCATTGATGTTAACACGAAAATGATTGGTATAAACAGATATTTTCTGACCTTTTGAGCCACCTTCATCAGGACGATGAACTGGGGTTAATACGGCTAAGTCAGGTACAGCTGAGCATAATTCTCGACGGCGTATCACTTGACGAACACTTTGAGAACGAAAATCTTTTGCTGAGGTCGATGCCGCATTGATAGACAAATTTCTCATTGACTCGTTTAATGTCGGGAATGCACTCGAAGAACGTTCAGCTCCAGATGATGAAACCCATGTTGATTTTGGTACTACAGATGATTCAATTGGAGATGACACTGGAACATCCCGTGCTGGTCTTCTCGGTGTAGCAGCAGCTTCGACAATCGTATCATTATCATTGTCGGTTGTTGCCGGTTTTGATTCAGCCCGAGCTACAAAAAATAAATAATAAAGAAATAAATGATTAATGATTTCAAACTGTATAACGAACACTTTCGATTTTTGCTTTGTAACATTTATGATTCTTTTGCGGATTAATGCCTGTAAAGAATTAAAGTTATTCAATATCAATATTAAAACAAAATGAATATATAAAAGATCTCAGAAAAAAATATCTAGCTTACCTTCGTATAGAAAAATTAACTCTTATTTTTATTTCAAACAATATGTAAATTATTACTAATCTATAAGCAATAAAACAATTATTGACAATAGTATTTGAAATCATATGATTATCAATTATTTTTATTAGATAAGTAACATTTGATATAAACGAAAACCGTTTATTTTAGTGTTCAGACAATATAAAAAGAAGAATGTAATCACAGCATAAATCGAAGTCTCTCTCTATATATAGAACAGTTACTGGGTATTTCAGTGGGAAAAAATCTATGGCGCTTGTAACAGAACAAAATGATTCATCGTACAACGAAGCATATAGAAGATCAAAATTATTACAGCTACGAAAAAGAAAAAAAAATGCAAAAGCAAAGAACAACAACCAAAAAGAACACTGTTAAAAGTGACGTGGTATTTTATGTTCATTTTTTAAATTAATATTTCCAACTTGGATTTTAATCTTAAAAAGGTTTCATATAACAATAATTGTTTTGTTTTTATTATTTCTTCATTTTTCTTACATTTACGTATCTTAATAAAATCACTAGTATTTAAAAATGAACTTTCTATCAAGATATAATCATTGATCACAATCGTCACATTTGGCATACTAAGAATTTTTCAAAGATCTATTCTATGATTTTTAGATGCATTATTTTACTTTAACATGCTTGATATCAAAAGATCTTTACAATTAAAACCAACTCAATAATCACTAGTAAACAGAGATTTAAATCATAGATGATAGTAAAGTACTTTTTTTATGTTATAAATCAACACTCTTTTTATTATAACAGATATATATTCTTTTACACAAAAGCACTTTTTATTTGACCATGTTTTTGTATTTTGAATGACTCATAGCTCTTCTTCTGCTTGTTCGGCTGAATAAGACCGAGAGAAGAAAAAATACAACGAAATATTTTTTTTTTCTGTCTCCTTTACTTCTTACTCTCAGTCATATCAGGAGAAAAAAAAACAACCAAAGACTAACCACGTCTGTTTTCTTCATCATCATATTCTCATATGTTTTTCTTGCTACACTATTTTGACTAACATACTTCAAGAATTCATTATAGCAATACATATTGTTCATTGATTAAATCATACAATTTTCCTTTATTTGCTATAAGCTGTAGTATGTTTTTGAAAATACAAATAATTCGTCGTCTTTCATACGAACGTGATCATACTTAGCTAAAAGAAATTTTATATTTAATCATTTATTTTGTATGATGATCCACATATTGATAATTTACAGAAACAGAATCTTTTATTCAACATTTGGAATATAATGTTAATAAATCATGTCGAGTTCATTTTATTCAAATAGAGGGTTAAAATAAATCAACCAAATTTTAAATCATCTTACACAATAAAGAAATGATCACATTAAGACAAAATAAAATAAATTTTGTTTGTTAATCAATTATTTTAAAAATTTGTACTGCGAAAATAATTGCCATTCATATATAATTATCTATGTTTCCTACTATTTTAAAATTGAATAACTTTATTAAATATGTTTTTAAAAGAACAAAAATATATATATTCATTTAAATAGGCAAAGTGTATATGAAGCAAGAAAATGATTTAAAAATTCGAATTGAACAAAAGGTTTTATTACAAGAAAGTGATGAAGCATTTATTAATTATGAAAAGCCAAATACTAAACTTTCTATTGAAGATATCGAATTGATCAATGCCAATTTTTTATTGTTCAATCTTCATTAAAAATTTCATATTCAAACAAAATTTTTATTTCACATATTTCTGATAGTTAGATTTTCTTCTTTCATGGAATATCCTACTTTATTGATTGAATTTGTTTTTTTGACAAAGTTTCTCAAATAAAATACACATCTGTGACAATACTTTTTTCCATGCATAGAGTTCTAATATTTGAATATCGTGTTGCAAATAAAAAAGCAATTAGCACAATGTCTGCAGGATTAAAATGTGAAACACGATGGAACTACTGGGATTGTGAAACAGAAAATTAATTAATATATGTTTCGGTTTATGAATTCCTACCTACTGTTGGTGCATGTCGATGATGAAAGGTATTAATTGCAATTTATTGCAGTCATTGTTAAAGAAATGTAAAGGACAACTATTATGCCAATCTTGCAGTGGATTTCGATTTCGTGATTATATATGGTACCATCTGTGACGGTGGAGAGGCGTTGCTAAGGTGTCTGTCATGTTTGTGGAGGAAGGTGGGTCCACGTTTCTACCTCTGCACTTCGACACTCCTTCTAGTTCATTTTTTACAAACAAAATAACAACATTAAATCATAATTTAAGGATCTGACTAGATTTTTTTGTATATCAATGATGCTTAATAGAATAAGTAACATGATAGTAACTTCTAAGAATTGCATATTCATGACTACACGGATAATTTCGATTTATTCACACGTGTATAATGTTCTCATACGATGTGAGTAGTTCAGATTTGAGAAGCGTTTGTATAACCGTATTCTAGAAGAATAAATACTAATTAATTCGCTAATAAAATATGGGTGTCATAAATTGACATGTATAGCTTTAATTCTTATCGTTCTGAATATTGACATAGGCATACGAAACGATTGAGTTATAAATACATTAGTTGAATAGATATATAAATATGCATTATATATTGTTTTATTGATAAATGATGAATATGAGAGATTTATTCAAATGAAAGAAATTGAGAAGCAATAATATAGCATGGAATCATTTTAAAAATATGTTGTTTATAATATTCTCAGAATAATTATTTCAAAACAAATAAATATGATAAAGCCAGCAGATGATGAGGACTACACAAGTACAAGTATAAAATATACGTTGAAATGAATATTACTCTCCATAAATTCAGAATTGACAAATTCTTTTCATTGCATGCATCCAATTAATCATAGTCGATCCATTCCAATAACGTTTATATGCCATGAAATCTAATCATAATATATTTCTACGCATTTCCTATTGATACATATATAATAAAACATAGGAATATACGTCACTAAATCCTGATATTTGTGTCTAGTACTATCAGATATTATTATGTAATGTAACGTATTCGCATGTATGCTGGTCACTATATGTATTGCGTCAAAAAACATAGAACTGGAGAATTAGTACTATATACAGCGAGATATGCACTCTGATCTCCTTCTGAGAAACAAAAACAAAATTTCCTAGTTGTTGATATATGATCTATAATGGCCATAATGCATAGGATGCTTTTAATCAGTAAAATATTGTGCGTTTGTGTTTCTATCATTATCCTCAAGATGTATATACTAAGAATAGTACATGTATGATTAATGAAAATGTATACATCAATGATAATACAAAATGTATTTACATTTGCGTACTTCTTCAAAACAAGAGAAAAGAGATAATCGAAATAAATTAATCGATTGAATTACGTCCCATTTACATTTCATCTTTCGACATTATTTGACCAACTTAATAATCAACAGATGAAGAACATTGGTAATTTTTTAACTGTTGTTGTAGATTGACAATAAAAAAAAGCAAAGTACGAAAAGTGCAATCGGTGTTGTGTACTCGAAGTACCTTATTTGACACTCAATAAAGAAATAATTCTCTTGTGCACCATAACCGAGCTTTATCTAAAGAATGTTTTTTTCTGTTTACTAAAATCTTTTGCAATCGTCTATTGAGAGTCAATTTCTTTATATATTTTGTTACAACGAGAGATAAAGCGATCTTTGTTTGCTTGAATCGATTTTATACGAAGTAAAACATTGATAAAGATTTGAAAATGAACAAATTCATCATTTAATTCACTTGTTGATCGTTCTTGAACGATAAATAATATTGGTTAATCATCTTTTTACCATCTCTCACAATTCGATTAAAGTTGAGTAACAAGTTCTTAATTTTGAGTTTATAAAATTTTTCTCTAAAAGAAAAAGACGTATCATTATGTCGTTAGATATACAACTCAGAAAATCAAATCAAATGATCAATAAATCAATGATTTAGTTCGATTTCTATTACTTAGAGTCCTTGCTTTGTCTCATTTGACTTTTTTTGGCAAAAGACTTGTTTTATCATTTTTCCAGCAGTTTGAAGATATATTCCTATTCAATACATCTAATATCTTGTTATGTGAGTTGTCTGGAATCTTAAGCAGTACTGTAGCATTTCTCAAATCCTCTAAAAAGTGCATTTACCGAATAATATTATCCTACATGTTTCATGTATTTTTAGGAAAATTCTGTATAAAATGCTGTGATGTTTCGCTAGTTTTATCAGAGTAAACAACTATTCGATGAAAGCTATAATGCATATGTTTCGTATAAATGGTTTTCAGGCAAAATTCAACATTATGAGCATATGAAAGTACATGCCTTCATCTATCGTGTAGGTCTCGTTTGAAATGTGCTTCTGTGATGTGTTGGGTGTCTTTGTCTTACCTTTGAGTTCGTATTTTTCTCGTTTAGTGAATACCAATGACAGAGAGTCGGATATAGAGTGCAAGGGTGTGAATCTTCTCTCCAGCCATATCGACACCGACACTCACTTCTTAGTGAATACCTTCTTACAGTGAACTCTCATTACTTTTGAGATTTCAACCAACTAAAAAAAACCTTCCTAAAGTGAACATCTTATGTTCTAATCCTGTTCTTACATGCTCTTGTGCATAATTAAGACGAAATTACTTCTGTATAGTCAGCACTGTTAAATATTTCCTTGGATGTTTACATTAGGGAGTTTTTACTGTAATCATCTAAATTGATTGCAGTGAATTCTTAGATTTTCTATGAAAATCGAATTTGATTTCTTTTGCGGAACACTTCATGGCTGAAGTTAGTTTCGCTTTAGTTTTTATTCGATTGCCATCTATTTATGAATCGATTAAATCAAGATAGAAGAGATCGCATACACCAAATAGTTTCTCGGATATAGAGTGTAAGTGACAGTAGTGGAAAAGTCCTTGCGCAAAATCTCTCTATTTGCCTCATTTTTCGGATTTTTTACTTTCCAATTGACAATTGCATCAACTGCAGAAATATCCTGCCATTTATTTTCATATTTTATGCAAGAACAAAATTGTATGAGATAAAAACTTTCGATCACTTATTAAATTAACATCTTGAAGTTTAATGCAAAAAACATTGAGAGTCTTTATTTCTAAACAGTCAGAGTCGAAGTTGTCCAAAGTCGATGCATTTCCATTAGTCGTAATTAACTTTATCAGACACGATCAAGATCATTTCGAGGTGCTTTCCTTTCTTTCCACACCTCTTTATATGCACTGACCCTTTGAAAAATTGTCTTGTTTGAGTATAGTTTTGGATAAGCGACTCTATATCTACTATTAATGTTATATCACGAGAACGAGCAAAATTATTATAACGTAGATAAGGTTAAGAACGTCATTCATGCACATTCTTTTTAGTATTTGAGTTTTTTGTTTTATCATAAATTTTTGGAACATGGTTTTTATTTGACATTGTAAATCATTTCATTCATTCTAACGTGATTGACAATATTATAATAATCTCTTAACTAAAAATGTCGCTAGAAACAATTCTCAAACTTGACTTTACATTGATTTGATACAGAATGTTTTACTCTACAAAAATGTTAATTGCGCTCCTTAAATAAACCTTTCTCGTTTTGCATAAAACTTAGACAGTTGAGATCTTCTGAACCATAACGAAAGCAAATAATCAGTTCTTATGACAATGTCTTTGAAGTGTGAGTTATGAAACAACATATTCTTATATATGTGTGTTTCTTCAAGCGTTTTTCAGAATGGAAGAATATATATATATGAAAAATTCATGTAATTATGAACTGTGAACGCATAGAAAATTTAATTTTCTCTTAGATTTGTATGTTGACTGCTTTTTTAATATAGATAATCGAGCAGTTTGCATTGTTGAAAGTGCATGCTATGCTAATTTGTTCCAAAACAGTTTCTAATTTCGATACTATTCAAGTAAATTCTTAAGAGATATTATGTCACTGGAAAGAATAATCTTCTATAATGTATGCAAAAGGATTCAGAGTTATTAAAATATTATATCTGTTTCTATGAAATCATAGTAGGAAAAATCTTAGAATTGCAATAGAAATAGGAGTAGAAAATTGTCTCTATTAATGTAAAATAGTATATGCATAGCAGTGAACTTCATGAGCACTAGTGTATATAAATCAATAAATGTTCGCAAAAGTATGTGACATCTCAGTTAAACAATTGAGGCATTAGCAATCGTTGAAAAATGTGTAAGCAAGAAAATTTGGTTTGAAGAAAAATAATGATTTCCAAAGCAATAAGTTCTGTATAGAGTCAATACAAAGTCAAGTTTGGAAATCATTTTTTACATATCTCGAAAGAAGAGTACATATAACTGTTGCTATCTAATTTATTCGTAGAGACAGTTTTTAAAGACTCACATATTTAGAAAGTGATAGTAAGTTTTGAGAGTTTGTAATTAGGCTCAATCCCATTGGAGAAATTTTCGTTTTGTTTTGGTTCGATTTCGAAAAACCGGAACCGATTTCATCTCTGATTGAGGCAACATTATTCTTATGAGAATTTCAATTTTAGATCTATGAAGAGCTTTTCTATCACAATTTTTGTTAAGTACAATATTTAATTTGTGTTAAAGCGTGAAATGCCTTCCACTAGGTTCATAGAGTGTAATTGGCATGTTGACGGAAGTGTGTTACACAGTATTAAACATTATGAATCGTCTTGTTACATCAATCTACTTTCTATTGTAGTGGCTTCATCATATTATACATTTTAATCATGCAGAGATTACATTCAAAACTTTCTGCGGAGGATTGTAGAAAAGTGTGAGTTAATGCAAAAATAAAGTTTCTGTATGGTTGATTATTTTTGAAAAATTTCTAAACTGTATGGATTGTCAGCTAGAATAAGGTGAAAATCAAATAAAAAAATAAACCATTACGACATTGCAAGATAAGAATAGCGCTTTTTTTCGGGTCAAACATGACAGCAGATTAGACTTAGTAAAGAAGAGAAAAAAAAGAAGCAATACCACGAGACCTAATTATAAGGGAGAAGTCAATGTGCGGTGTTAGTTATCATTTTTATACGGAACATTTCTTGATATGGATAGAACTATTTCAAAGTTGTAACCGATCGAGAATTTTAGAAATAATCCGGTCTGACTGGTTCAAAAAATCTTTTAGATCAGTTAAAACTAGCTAGCTAGTTGGTTAAATCATTACTAATCAGTTGATGGAAATGGTTTCAAAAAGCATTCATTTTCCTTTTTGCAGTCAGGCTTTTACAAATCATCTGGAAGAAATATCATGTTTGTGTCATTTATATCTGTTGGGCTTCTCAAAGATAAGAAAGTCATATTTCTATATATAGCATAAAAAAAAAAGGAATCATGTACTTGCTAAACTCTAAATCTAGAATTTTCTCACTAGGCCATGTCAGATAAACCTAACATTTCTGTTCGAATGACGATCCAAATCTAAATTTGATTTTTGTCAAAACATATATCATTGGAATTTTAGCTCAAGTAATACACTTTTGATTGTGCTTTTTTTTTTACAAGATGAAATATACTTCGATTAAAGAAATAAAACAATGTGGACGAATAGAAGAAAATAATACTAATAGTTTTTGACACTACACTGTTCAATTATTTTGATCAGAGCAAGCAAACTTACTCTCAACAATTTTTATCAGAAAAAAAGAGATATATCTATAAAATATTTTTCCAAGCGGTACAAAACCGGTGAAGACTGGATGATTCCACTATTTCAGCCGGTTCAAACCGGTTATTACAACTTTGGACCAGCTTTTCTTAGTTTCGAACGGTTCCAATGCAACACTTGACCATAGACAACGAAAATTAAGTTATTTGCTCCTGATTGTTTTAGGCTTTGAACAAAAAATTCCTTTTTCAAGAAAAATCCATCTACTGTGAAATTAAATTTATTAGCACCTATCTCGGTTCTGTTCAAAAAGTTTGGTATCTATTGTTGATCTCACTCATCTCTATGCACTTTTTATCATCTATTCATCTTTATCATGTTTTTATAGATTGTTGATATCAACAATTTTTCTTTTTGATGCATGATAGCAAGAAAAAGTAGTATACGAACAATATTTATTTTTGTTAGAATTTTATGTATACATAAAATTGTCTTTTAATGAAAGAAGTTCAAATATTGAATTCCACTTTTGAATAATTTGAAAAGCGCTTCTCGAAATATTCTACCAGTTATTGTATACAAATAAAATGTTATGCAATTTGGTCCATATGTAAGAAGAAGAACAAAGTTAAAAAGCATGCTTTCCAGTGCTCGTTGAGATGATGATTTTGTTTGATAAAATGTATAAGTCAAATAAAATTTTTGTCCTGCTTGTGGTAGAGTAAATATCGTCAATAGAATAACTTGTGCAATTAACATTATAGTTAAACTTGTTTCGTCTTTTCTGTTTCGTCTAGTATTGTTATTATTATTATTATTATTATTATTATTACTTTTATTTTTAGTATTATTACTTTGCATAGTAGCTGAAGCAGGTCCTATTTTGTGGAAATGTCGAATATTGCGAATAGTAAATAAGCCAATAATAAGCATGACTGTCGATGGAATGATGGTTGTAATAAGTGATTGAGCAAGATCATTAAAAATACGGCATGCATCAGATTTGGCATAACATTTTTGAGGTGTACCAACCATATTAGCATCAAAACAGTAGCCAGCTTCAGCCCAAACTAGAGCCGATATGATACTAACAATTAAAATCCAAAGATAAGTATTCTTCAAATTGCTCATTTGACGTCGATTGACATCAGAACTTGAAATTAAATAACGATCTACACTAGCAAGAGTTAAAAGCCATGATGAAATGGTACGCATTGTAAAAAGAACAATAAGACGCAGTTTACATAACGTTGATACTGTCTCTGTTCGATCTGGGATCATAAAAAAAGCTTGAAATGCACGTGGTGCAATACCCGAAAAAACAATAATTAAATTTAATATACTAGACACAAGAAAATAGATAACACATGGTTTTGATCGAAGTGATCGTTGTACAAATACCAAACAATTGAGTAAATTACCGATCAAGCCAGAAACAAGAATAACAATTGACATATATAGAGTCACTTGTCCTGAAATATATTGAAGGTTAGCAATATATGATATTGTTGCATTTGTACTTGACATTTTTAATATTGAATTCTCTTCAAATAGTTACAATGGATGTTTTAATAAATGTAATGATGTGGATAGACTTGAAAAATGAAAATGATCTGTATGTAAGCTATTTATATGACAAGAGTATGCTAATTAGAATCTATTTTATACTTTCTTTATTTTTAGATTTTTTTTCTTATACATTTTTATTTGAATAGAATAATGAATTGAATGACGCTTTAATAAACTTAAAAGCTGACTACCGGCGTTTTTTTTTTGTAGTTGCTGTCTTCTTTCTAAGAGATCAACAGGACTGATTAACTATCTATAGATCATGATTACTAACGACAGTAATTCCTAATTATTGATAGTCTTTCACACTGATAAAATATCATGCTTAGTCAGAATGTCATAAGAATGATGATGATATCAAGAAGAAAAAAAGATGACTGCTTGGTTGCAAATGCAAGTGATAATGGAAATGAAATTTTTATGAAAAATTATCTTTGAAAAGTGTACGTCATTTCTTCATCAACATCGGCACGCTCTAGTATTTTATATATTAATGCCTAGTTTTCTTCCAAGTCATATTTTTTTAAAATTCTTGTTTATGTTCGATTGAAATAACTATTTCTACCGCTAATGTCTCATGAACACTTAAATGTGATTTCAGTCATATTTGACTGGCAAATATTTTATCCGCTGTGTATTCTAGGATTTCCAAATTTGATCAAGCGCATGTCTCACAACGGTTCCTGATTTTCTGAAAATCGTTCTGCTTTTTTTCGATTTTCAGCACTCTTGGCGACCAGAAAATCAGCATTATTCGTCTAATCTAGAATGAATCAGAATGATTTTTAAAAAACCAGGATCACTGCAACGTATGCACGTACGTTTGTTATATGAAGCAAAATGATATTCGACTGTTAATCAACTACAAAATGTAGCATGAAGCTTAGAATGTCGACTTAAGAGAAATCAATAATTCGTAGAAAACGAATAATCATATTTATAAACGAGTATAAAACAAAATATGTCTCATAAAATTAATATTCTTTTTTTATTAATATATAAAGGAAAGTTACTTTTTTGATCAATAAGTTGATCGCAGTCAACAGTAAAATGAAAAGGAGAGATACTTGAGAAATTCCTTACTACGAAAATCCTATCAATTTATTTCTGAAGAACACTGACAGTTAGTCGTTTAATTATTTATGTGATACATTATCTATCATTAATTGTGTGCACAATTGTCTTATTTGTAACTACTCGTTCGAAGAGAGTGAAGACTAGTATTTTTCGCTATTATCACTTTTAATTATCATGCAACACGAAAAAAAAGCAAGTTCTACAAAATTTGTCATTTTTCATAGATCTTTATAATTAGACGAAAATAATCTTTACAATAAAAAAGCTTCTCTAACACCGTTTCGATGAATGTTTTCTTTCATTGTGCTCGTAGAATCATCATATCACAAAATGACAAATTTTAATGTGTACATTTAGAAATAAAGAAAACTCGTAACGATTCGGATCCATACTGTGCTTCACACGTGATTAATTAGCCACATTGTCCACTATCTTTGAACAAAAGAACTAGTATATACGCTCAGTCCCACCAGTATCCATGATTCAAAAATTTGCAATTTAAGAAGAATGAAACAATACAATAAATGGAACAGGTGCCAATAAATTAGATATTTACACTCTGTAACCCTCACGGAAATCAAGGATATCATAGAGGTTAAAAAAATTTAGGAAAATGAAGGAGGTGACTGTGGAGAGGAAAAGACAACTATCGATGCCTAAACTTACACCCACACCCTATTTACCACTATTCAGAATCCCTGATTTTTCCTGAATTGCGAATTTCTAGATCGTGAGTATATCACCTCAGTAGATAATAGCGAAATCATGATAAATTTTATGCAAGAAGAATTTGAACATTCTTTGGAGGACTGAACTTCTCTCCTACTGGTCTAGTTATTAATTATAAATCATTAGAATAGTATAAGAAGAACTTCATTCATTTTGTATAGAGCATTATGAATCATACAATGAATTAAATAGAATTTGTTTTTATAATGAATTAAAATATTATTATTATGTCTATATTAAACAAAAACAAGATGTATATGTGTATATAATGTTTTGCTTGAAAATAATACATCTCATAATATTTTATAATATTTTTGAATAAAATATTTCAAACATCTACAAGATTAAATTCACATAGAATTATTTGGTTAATGAAAAAATTCTAATACGTAATTGAATCTTCGGAGGTTTACGCCAACAAAAAATCATTTTTATTTAGGTCATACTGATATCTCTGACAACTTAATCTTTCTTTCACTTTTGTTTTTATGGATTATTACTGCTAGGCATTGATGTGCATGTTATTATACGTATTAAATAAAGATTCGATTACCAGTTACTCAACTGTTAAAGAACTCATATTTTCAATTGATAAATAATATTGTAAACGTTGTAATACAAAATTCTATTTATATGTTAGAAAACCATGCGTTTTGTTCGTCATATCATTAATCTACTAGTTCCAATAATTTAAGTAAAACCAGAAAACTGCCATCAATCATTATTTCGATCATAATGTGTCCATCATATTTATTTGTGATTAAAAACTATCACCTCATCTTGCGTTCTTTTAGAATGCCTTTTTTTGCTCCCTTCTCCTCCTCCTCCTCGTCAAAAAAAAAGTTCGTTTCTATCAGAATTATTGAAATTAAGACAAATGTATGAGAGAATAAATTGAGGTTAAATCTTTCACAAATATTATGACTTTTTGTTTGGTTCGCCGTTTTTTCCAAAAAATTTTCTGTCTGTTTGTCTGATCGCACATTTCAGAATTCTCGAAAGAGTTTCATCGTAACCAATTGCTTCTATTTATCTGAAAGAGGATTTAAAGCTGTAGTGCCTTGTGGAGCCAGTTTTTTTTTAACTTAAGCTTTATTATTATTATTATTATATAAACGAATCCTATAAATTGATGATCACTTTTTGAGAATTTTTTAAGGTATTGAAACTGGCATCCTTTTTCTCTACATAAAAAATAATAATTTAAGAAAAAAGGATTCTGTCCGGTATTGCAGTCTGACTTGCTCTTTCAAATAAAAATCAATAAAATATATAGAATCAGGATCTACAAGAAATTTGAGGTTGGCAAATGAATTATTTTGTATTCCTCTAAACGTCATGGTATAGGATTGAAAATTTTAGCATTGCTTATCCACTGCAATCCTAAGCTATAGCAAAAATTTCATATGATTTGACTATACCTCGCCTATGATCAGTTTTTGAGGATGGAGAAAAGAGGGCTTAATAAAACAATGAGTATAAAAAACGCAGACTAGAGAAAGATGTCATTATAAGATTTGTTTCTTTCCAACAATACTGTTTCTTTATAAGCAAACATAAAAAAGCAACTTTGAATATCGTCACATCCCATCATTTTATAGATCATTGTATTTCAATGATTTTTTTATATAGGGGAAAATGTTGGATTGATTTCAGATGCTTGAGAAAAGCATCCAATTAATAAACTATCATTGAAAATAATAGTTTATTATGGAAGGCATTGCTTCTTTTCATAAGATTGGTGTTTAGATGTCTCGAAATTCTTATTTTTTGTATCTGAATAACAACACTCATATACGATGCAAAGCTTTGATTTATCATGAATAAACATTGACTTTGTCATTGTGTCTCTCATTTTTTTTCATCATAGCCATCGACATAAAATAAATTTCTTTTTCTTGTGTAAGTGTTACCTGCCTTAGTACAGAATACGATCTAAAATAAGTACTGAAGTACAAACCGAGCAATTTGGATTCATTCTCTTACAATAAATAGAAAAAAAACAAAATTTTTTGACAGTATCACATATCACTAATTCGTACATTAAAATCACAATTATTAAAGTATAATTCATATGGGATTATTATATTTTAACAGAATCGGTTCTTAAAAGTAGAATCAAATTCGATTAATCGAGTTGTGGCATCGATGGGCAAGTCGTTTTCTAAAGTCATTTGAGAAATCTTCTGTAATTATTTTGCAGCTAAAGAATATGCTACTAATTCAAATGCAGTACTGTTTAGAAATCTTCAGGCTACAAACGGTATATTCAACAAGAATTCTTCTATATTTAGAAATTATCATGTTGCTTGTCTAAACGCGATGACTTGAAAATCAATTTATTGTTTTTATAAAGACACTACGGTATATTTAAAGTGTAAAATTCTTGTGGAATATGCTAGTTTGTGATCCGAATATTTTTGAATAGAACTATGTTTGAATTAGAAGCATAATCATTAGCTGAAATTAATTACAGAAGACTTTTTAAATAATTTGAGAAAATGACTTGCCAATTTCTAAGCTTTTATGTTAATATTCAAGAGACCTTCTGTCCATATTGTCTTATTCATCGAATAATAATGATTTTTTAATGGCTCAAAGATATGTTTATCGATCAGACACCAGATCTGAAAGTGCAAGTTCGAATGAACATGAGGCAAGATATATAATAGATGAAGATGAGTTAGAACGGTTGGGTTGTCGTATGTCACACATGGAAGTTTTCCAGCATATACAGAATGCAAGCGTAAATGTCAATAATCCAGAAATGCGACTTCAACATTGTTGTTACGTACAATCAGTTGGCAAAATTCCAAATTATAGAAATAAGCCATCATCAACAGATTTTCAATTGGAAGATGTTGAAAAATATCTTGAATCAGCCATTCTTTATCAAAATGTAACTGAACTTCTTCAAAAACGTGAAGAATTTGCAGTTGTTGAAGATGATTTTGGACCAACACTTACTCAAATGTTGATTCGTGGAAAGAAGCCATCCTTTTCAAATCTAGTAGACGCGTGCAGAAAATTCGATCAAGAAGATTATATCAATATACATCTTATGACAACTGAAATATCTTAATGACATTTTCTGTGAAAGAACGTAAATGAAGATGATGCTAAAACATATGCATTTGCTATTGCATTTTATACAGGTGCATATAGTGAAATGCTCAATCTCAGTGCAAATATTTTTGCTCGACGATGGCAACGAAATAAAGCAACAGATGCAGAAAATGTACAAGTTGATAATAATGCTGCTATGATTATGTATTACCTTATTAAAGGTCTTTCACATATTAATTTTCATTAGGGTCGAGTGGTACGATATGTTAAATTGAATGAGAAAGATCTTAAAGATTATCAACCCGGTGAAATTCTTACATGGCTTCGATTTAGTAGTTCTGATAAAGGTGATGATAACAATGCTAAACATCTTAGATATTTTAAAGAACATAATACTAAATTTATTATTCATTCATTAACTGGTCGAAACATACGAGATTTTTCTAATTGTGCTAAAGATGAAGATGAAGTTCTTTTTTTACCTCATTCCACATTTCTTGTATGTCATAGTGAAGTTAAAAATAGAAAAAAACATTATTTATATGAGACAGGTAAAATAATCTATTCAATTCTAATATATTAAAATGAATGATTATTATAGATTGAACTTGGTCTTTGCAAATATGTTATATTATGGGTTGATGACCGTATATTCCATGAATGGTGGGAAAATAAAGGACGTATGGAAAAAGCAAGTACTCTTGGTACTCAAGTTAATGTTCATTTCATGCCAAAGTCTACAACTGAAGATACATTGGCCTTTCTTCGATCCGAATTTGGAAAACGATTAAAAAGTAGTGAGACATTTCGAATTGTCACGGATATGAATCGAGATAATGAGAGTTCACCAAACGATGCTGGTATTCGTCTACTTTGTCAAGTGCGAAAGCTTGGATTTCATCAGATATGTCTTATATTTACTAGTAATGCATTGGAAGGACGCAGAAAATTAAAAAAAGTTTTTCAATGAAATCAGTTGAATGACATCAAAATTACCGAAGATCCGGCAGATCTCGAACGATTCGTTCTTTTCAAATGAATTTACCACATTGAATTTTATTTTATCATTCGTAAAACAATTTTGTTTTTTGGCAGTTTAATATCATTAGATTTTTGCCCTGACGTGACATTTTCCTTCAACATTCTTTTCTCAATTTAACTTTTATATACTTCATTTAATCAATTAAAATAATATCCATACATTTTGTTCTTTGTCTTTCAATCAAAGGAACGAAATTGTATATTAAATCGTAATTTTTCATTAGCAAACTGACTGGTTTGCTAACCTCCCTCCACAGAAAAGAAGCCAACTCCTAAGATTAGGATTTTCCGGAGATACTAAAGGTTCACTTTGTACAAAATAAACGCAAATCAATGAAAAGTGTCAGAATATACATATTTCTATTAATTAACGAAAAAACTGATCTCAACGCAAGCTTCCTTTCAAACTTATAGCTTGCGAAATAAAGGTACCCCCATAGGCTTCTATTCTGTGACAGGGAGTTTACTCAAATCATTTGACTTTCTGTGTTAACTAATTATTAAAAGACACTTCAAGTATAGAATCTTGGACGTAGAGCATCTATATTATTATTAGAGTTGATAACATATTATAATTGAATTCATACTCTCTTCTCTGTTTCACCAAAGATGCGATAAAAGCAGTCGAAAGTTGATGACAGCTAGAGCATGAAAGACGTTGAGTTATTATGCGCTCAAGACGTATTCGAAAAGCAGTTCAAGTTCTACGGATGCTATTTTTATGCATCTAATATGCGAATCATTTGTAATGATAAATCTTCCATACCGATGATGGTGCTTCCTTTATCAATCAAATAACGCATATAATCTAGATGACGTTGTTCCATTATTTCACCTGCCACTAGTAGTGGAACACCGGGCGGATATGGTATTACATTCTCTACTAGTATATGTCCTACTGCTTCATTAAGAGGAATGGTGCGCGTTTTGGTTGAAAGATAGGCATCGCGTAAGTTGATCGCTGGAAGTGGCAGACCATCTGGTGGCTTGATTGAAAAACCATCATGATCAATAATCGGACGCTTTTGTCTAGTCAGACTATGTAATGCATCGAGTAATTTATCGACAGTTGATTCCGTATCAGCTATCGTAATTGAACAGATTACATGTTTGACATCAGCAAATTCCACTTCGATTCCATATTGATGTCTGAGAAGAGAACTGGCCTCAAAGCCACTGAAACCTGCGTCGCTCACACGAATGATAAGTTTACTTGGATCAAAAGCAAAAATGTTATTGACACCAACTAACTCATCGCCATAGCACCACAAGCCATTCATCTGTCGAATAGCATCGCGTGCTTTTCGTGCAAGAGCAATAACAATTGACAAACGCTCACGACCTTCTGTAGCCATTTGCATACGAGTCGCATCTAATGAAGCAAGCAAAATTGAACTTGGCGAAGAACTTTGCAGAAGCGGCAGTACTTGTGCTATGCGTGCTAGATTAACAAAACCATTGTCGTTAACATGCAGCATCGCTGACTGTGTAAGAGAACCTTGTGTTTTATGTGTACTATGTACGATGATGTCTGCTCTTAAAGAGACCGCTGATTGAGGCAAATCCGAATGAAAGCCAAGATGCGAGCCGTGAGCTTCGTCAACAAGAAGTGCTACTCCATGTGAATGAGCGAGATGACAAATAGCCGCTATATCTGGCATAACACCATAATAATTAGGAGAAGTTAAATGAATAGCAACGACATCAGGATGTTGTTTGAGTAGAACTTCAATCGCCTCGACACTTACCGATAGTGGAAATCCAATATCAGGATGATAATCAGGTTCAATATAGACGGGTATGGCACCAGAAAGTACAATTCCACCATACACAGATCGATGCGAAGCACGTGACATTATGATCTTTTGATTGGAAGCAGTCACACCCATAATAGCGGCCATATTACCCACTGTCGAACCGTTAATGAGAAAGAATGTATGATCAGCATTGTAGGCGGCAGCCGCTAGTTTCTGAGCTTCGAGTAATGCTCCTCTTGGTGAATGCAAATAGTCGATATTTTTATTGATTTCTACCAAATCGGCCGGATGTAAATCACCACCAAAATACTCTAGTAGCAATGAATGAGGTGCCTTAGTACCCTTGTGACCTGGCATGTGAAATGAAATTGGCCTATGAGCTTTCTCGACCATTAGACTTTCCAAAAATGGCATTCTTGTTTGATCAGGTGTGAATGTGGCACTTACCACTGTTGGAGAAATAATATCTGGTTCAAGTTCCATTCGAATACTTTTTATGTGTCACACATTTGCAGATACGATATGAGATATGACAAGTTGCTATCTGTGTATGAATTTAGTAATAGTTTTTATATTCTATCTCGTTATTTTCTTTTGTTTTTTTTTATCATCGTCCTTTTTGTTATCTAATATTCTCTTTTGTTTTACTTGCTTCTTAACTTCGTTACAAGCAACTTTTGCTTATAAATTCTTATGCAGCATATGACTTTTTCGTTCCGTTCTTCTAGACGACAATAAACTGATGTATTACGACAAAATGTGTTATTGATGTTATGTAAAACGACTACCAACATTTTGACTATTCTTACTGTTTTCACCTTTACCTTTCTCACGTCACAACAACCGAGAAAAATTCTCAGTCAATAAAAGGGTAATGCGTGCAAGGTTGTGTTGACAATGGATTCTGACAATTTAATTTGACTAATGAAGAAAAAAAGCTACTGAAAAACAAAGCAACTATTCAGATCTGGTTAATATTGCATTCTTTTTTTTTTAATTAGATCACTAAGAGAAAAGAGATGATATATTTTCAAGTATTTGACTTGTAAAAAATCCTTGATAAAGATTGATTGCTCATCATTTAATAGTTTGAATATTTATTGATAAAAGTCAAGTCTGAAAAGTGATCTTCTATATAGTTAGTACAAATACAGCTATGCCTTCCTGATAATGTCAAATTTTCGAGAAATATTTTAAGAATTCTGAAATCATACGAAACATCTTCTTTAGTTCTAAACGTGTGTGTGATTATTTTGTGTCAGCACTTTGATCATTTGAGAAGTTTAATCATATAAACTTCGTAATACAACATTTATAGATTGATGAAAACGATAGTTGTATCTGAAGTATTTCGTTAAAAAAGTTACTGAGGGTGAGATACAGAGCTGCATCCTAATCAATCTCATCGAATTCTGGATAAATTGCAATGAAACATGGCATTTTTTCTCTGAATTTTAATTAACACATTTATTGTCTACGCTGATCATCAATTTTATAATTACACAACACGTCGATCAATTATTGAAATTAGCAAAATTCTACTTTCTATTATGAAGGTTAAATTTTCTTGTATAAAAGTGAACATATTTTAAAGAAATCTATTTTTCAACATCTTGGCAAGATAGGATGAAATGTCCTAGAATGAATCACTCAATTGTTATTTAACCACTCATGAAGATGATGAATGCATAATCATGTTTGATCAAAATGAATTTATTTGTTATTAAACTATAAAAATAAGGTTGTCTAGTTTTTGTTTCATGATTATTTCTTAAGTATTCGATATAAAACCTTGAGCTGTTTGATTTTATTTGACTGCATAGCAGAAGAGTCCATCGTAGCTAGAAGCATTTTTTTTTCTCTGAAAATTTGATATACATGATTACTCTCTTCTGTGGAATGGTAATTTGTTTCTTGAAGATATCATCTTTTACAAGACCTTCTGAAAGCCAATCTTCATCGAGTTTAAGTTAAGCACAGTATACCCCAGGAATACGACAGTGAATGATCACTTTCGAACCAGATATGAGTATACCATCGAGAGGTTCGAAGATTTGGCATTTACGCTCTGTAAATAAACCATAGGTTAATAGAAAAGACTTTACTTTTATGATATCCATTGGTGCATGTAGACTGAATTGAATTGCACAAGACTATGTGCTCTTATTAGTTTCATTTCTCATTTTCTGTTGTGGGTGTGGGTGTGTACCTTCTCTTCATTACAACTACACCCTGAACTATGGTCGTCTGACAAGAGATGAAAAAAATCTAACACTTCAATGCTTTTGTCTGTCAGCAGAGAGTTTAACTTGTTTTTTTTCGGCTGATACAACTATATGTGAATTTTTATCGAATATGACCAAATGTCATTAATATGCATCGCTTCGTCCCCTTCAACATTTGCATATGATTTTGTAGAGCATTAAACGAAGAATCTTGTTTTTTTAAAGTCGAAGTCTGTACGATGAAAACTAAAAGAGATATTAATGAAACATTAAATGGGAAATTGATTCTGCCACATTCATCACTTCTTCGATTAGCAACAACTTTTAAAACTTTTCAAGCAAATGATCTGCTGGCCAAAAGTGGAGACCAAATACTAGTGGCTCGGTTTTTGTATCATATCTTTGTCTTGTTTCCAGCTGCCCTCATAATAGTGTGCGATGCGAGCTTCCGGATCTTGATTGCCTTTGGGACTGAGATGGGGTGCGAAAGCGTACAGCGGAAGTACATATACATCGTCTCCAATTAATAAAGGATGCGTAAGATTGGAGAGCAGTTTCGATGGTTCGACTCTATGATGCTTCCTTAGATAATCAAGAATCACATCGGTCCACATTCCTGGCCCTGTCCAATTCATAATGAGATCGTAAGACATATTGAGAGTGTGCATTTGAGGCGAGATGGCAACTATTTTTTCCACCATGTTACGAAGAATTGGATGGCCAGGCACAGCAGCGAATGTCCACATGCAGAATTGAAGAGGTCGTGCAAACATTCCCTTCCAATTACTTGGATTGTTCCATTCGAGACCAGCAATAAATTTCACGTGCTTCTGGTTGTCGTTCTCGTTGATCCATGTATTAATAGGGCGCAGACATTCCGTGTCCTTGTCTGAATACACTCCCCCAAGAATCATGACGGCTATTACTTTGAAAAGATCTGCTTTTAAGATGGGTTTTGGCATCGACGTGTAAACTTGTACGACATTTGAAGGCATATGCTTTTGAATGAACTCATCTGCTTCTTTGTCACCGAACGAGTGATAAGTATGATTGGGATTGAGATGAAAGAAGGATGATGTCTTGTAATTAGAGAACTTTGTCGGACTTTTCTGAATTATGTTAGCCGGAATTCCAAGCTTTTGTCGTGGTTCGTGTGTAGTCCGATATACAAGAAATATAATTGGCGTAATCGATAATAATGTAGCCAGAAATAAACGTCGAGAAGTACGATGCATATCTTAAATTGTCATTTTTTTATCCGCGGCCTAAAAAAACATTAGAGAACGACTTTATAGGTTCGACTTGCAGCATCAAATTGAGACGAAAAGCTCGTATTTCTGCCTATATCGACTTCTTTTCCATTATCTACATAGGAAGAGTCATTGCTTGAAGAAATAAGACCGTATATTGAACTGTACAATCAATTTAATACCCTCATTTTGATAAAATTTCGTAGAAAATTTGAGAACAGGTGTAAAGCCTCCGAGTAACAATCCCAGGTCGAACATGCACGCTCGTAAACGGTCGTTTACGAAAAAAAACGGAGATATACGGAGGTCGTGCACAGCTTCCGTATGCGATGCGCGTATACGGAGCGGTACGATGAGAAACGGACTCCGTATACGGAAATCGTACAAAAATACGGAGGAATTAAGAGATAAGCATCTGGGCTCCGTATACGGAGCTATACGACTGCTGTATACGGTCGTATGTCACCGTGCATGGTCGTATCGGTACCATAACCGTACAATTTAATGAGCAGCACATGTTGTGCAACTCACATATATTTTTCGAAGAAGAATAGTGAGTATAAGTTTAAATGCGAGGTTTTTCGACTTCTCTTCCCTGTCCCATTACAGATCTTAGCATCCGTGGTCAAAGGTTAAAGATCACTGGGGACAAATGCTGCCATAATAACGAACATATAACAAGTATCAGACTCTTTTTACACAAACCCTTAGCGACGGAAAAGGTGTTGAACGGCGTTAACAAACACGGCTTAGACTGTTCTGGAATATTTCAAAGCTTTCCTTGAAATTTAAATGGCTGGGCTACATTTTTGAATGGTGTATATAGTGGAGCGTCTAATTTTTGCTCGGATTTAACGAGTAAATGATGTATATCAAAGATGGATGATGACTGATGATGTATTGATTTACTACAATCATCGTAGGATCAAGAGTACCTGCCTAATTCGACTTATAATATAAATGGACTGAAAAAACATCAACAGCGCTCAACCTCACCAAGAATAATTTTTTTTCTCCATTTATCATTTATTATAAAAGTGATAAATGAAGACTTAACTGTAAGTTTATACAAAAGGTTTATATTTTTTTTTCTTCATTTATCATTCATTATAAAAGTGATAAGTGACGAAGACTTTATTACAAATTTATGGAAAAAATATTTTTTTTTCTCCATTTATCATTGATTATAAGTCTGATAAATAATAAATGAAAAAAAATATAAATATTTTGTATAAAATTACAGTAAAGTTTTCATTTATATACATATATTTCTTCATTTATTATTGATTACAAAAGTGATAAATGATGAAGACTTTACTGTAAATTTATACAAAATATTTATATTTTTTACTCCATTCAACATTGATTATAAATCTAATAAATGATAAGTAAAAAAAACTATTAATATTTTGTATCAATTTATAGTAAAGTATTCATTTATGACTTTCGTAATCAATGATAAATGAAGAAAAATATATATACACATACTTTGCATAAACTAACAGCAAAGTGTTCGTCATTTATTAGATGTATAATCAGTAATAAAGGAAAAAAATATAAATACTTTGTATAAATTTACAGTAAAGTGTTTATCATTTATTACTTTTGTACCGTGCGTTTGATAATTCACTGACCAAAAAGAAAATTCAATATCTCAACCATTTCTCCACCAAATCGAGCATTTTTTTTTTAAATGAAAGAGAAATGTTCAAAGTTTATATCTATAAAGACATGCCTAGAGATATCCTTTTTTATGTATTACTATTGACCTCAACACAAGAATTTTACTTTTTCACAGATAGGAGAAAAACCAATATACGGAGTGGGACAAAAGTCATTTTGCAAAAAAAAAATGAATATCTCCATTACGACTCAGGCAAACGAGCTGAATTTTTATCAATGATAGAGGTATGTTCAGACTTTATATTCGTAAAGACAAGCCTAGAGAGATCCTTTGTTATGTGTATTGTTTTTTTCTCTATCTGTAAAAAAGTAAAATTCTTGTGTTGAGGTCAATAGTAATACATAAAAAAGGATCTCTCTAGGCATGTCTTTATAGATATAAACTTTGAACATTTCTCTTTCATTTAAAAAAAAATGCTCGATTTGGTTGAGAAATGGTTGAGATATTGAATTTTCTTTTTGGTCAGTGAATTATCAAACGCACGGTAATCAATAATAAATGAAGAAAAAAATATATATAAATGAAGACTATTGTAAGTTTATACAAAATATTTATTTTTTTTTGCATTATCATTTATTAGATTTATAATCAATGATAAATGAAGAAAAAAATATCTTTTTTTTGTATAAATTTACAGTAAAGCCATCGTTGTTTATTAATTTTATAAGAAACAATATAAGTCAACAGATTTATAGATTATTTTATTACTTATTTTCAAAATGATGAAAAACTTCTGAAGGTGCATTTATATTATAAGTCGAATTAGGCATCTCATGAGGATCAACAAAAAATTTATGAACTGATCAAGTTCTAATTCGAGGGAATTATTAAAATGAGACCATGACATCTCTCAGTAAAATTATCAATGGACTTATATTCTTAATAATATTTAAATAGATCGATAGATAGGTAGATAGGCAGGTAGATGGTTAGATAGATACGTAGGTAGGTAGTTAGATAGATAGGTAGGTAGGTAGGTAGATAGATAGATATATAGGTAGGTAGGTAGATAGGTAGATAGATAGTTAGATAGATAGATATATAGGTAGGTAGATAGATAGTTAGATAGATAGATATATAGGTAGGTAGGTAGATAGTTAGATAGATAGTTAG